GGAGTGCCGGGCCCGTCCGCGGCCCCTCGCTCTGCCGCCCTCCCGCGTTGCATTTCTCCTTTCTCTCCCAGGCTTTTTTCTTCCAGTTTGTTCTTTCTTTACTTTTGTCTTTCTCATTTAAATCTCCCTCCTAATGGTCTTTCCTTCTTGCCTTCTCTCCTTCGTTTCTCTTTATTTCTCGGTTTTATTTCCCCCTCTTCCTCTTTTCCCCTGTTATGTCCCTCTTCTTTCTTCCCACTTTCTTGATTTTCCGTCATTTGTCTTTTTCAGTCTGCTTTTTCTCTCTTACTTCTGTATGCCCTTTTCTGTTACTTATGGTTTTTCTTTTTTAAAAAATAAAAGCGGAAGTCTTTCTAAAACTTTTTTCATAACTTTACTTTCTGACTTAAAATTTTCTCTCCTTTCGTTCTTGCTCTTTCTTTCTTTTTGGTGTTTCTCCTTTCCCTCAGTTTCTTTTTCTCTCGGCCTTCTTCACCTCTCTCTCCTTTCTGTGTTCCCTGACTCTCGCACTCTCCTCGCTTACCAACCTTCCTCCCACCTCTCCCAGCTCGCAGCCTCGTCTACCGCACCTTTTTCTGGTCCCCTTTCCTCTCCTTCCCTGCCTCCAGTCGCCCTTTTCCGGGGCTGTCTCTAGCTGCAGGCCGTCTCTGTACCCAGGGCCCCGGGCTGGTGGCTAGGCGCAGCTGGACAGGCCTCGGGCGGGATGCCCGCCCTTCCTTTCTGCCCCAGCGTCACAGCTAAGAGCCTCGAGTCCACTCCTCTGACGATCCCTTCACCCACTCTGCGCCCTAGCCCTGAAGACCCGCTTGGCTTGGGCCCCACAGCAGCAGTCGCAGGGGTCTGGAGGGCGGGTCGGTGTAGATGCGCCCAGGAGACTCACCTTCCATGTCCCGGGTGACGGTGCTGAAGTGCATCCCGGCCTGGGATCCTGGCAGCCGGCGAAGCTTCGCCCGATCGGAGGACCCGGGGCCCGGGGCCAGCGCCTGGCGGGCGGTGCGCTCAGCGGCCTCGGCTGCAACCAGAGAGACGATGCTGAATGCGCTGGCCCGGGGAGACAGCGGGCTCCGCGCGTCCATAGGCGCCCGGCGGCCTGGCCGGCGCCGCCTCCGACTGCGTGCGCCCAGCCGCACCGCGCCCGGCCCAGCCCACGGGGCCGGGGGCGGGGGCCTGCGGTGCCACTCACAGCCGCCGGCCCCAGGCCCAGGGGATTATGGCGTCACGGCCCCCCACTTGGGGCCAGTGGAGGCCGAGGGGCCCGGACGGGTGAAGCACCCTGGGAGCGCGGCGCACTCTTGCTTTTCCAGCTCCCTGCCCGGGACCTCCGCTCCCAGCGCCCCTCGAACATCCTCCGCCAAGCTGCTCCCGCCGGGGCCAGGGGCTTCCTCTGTACGGCCAAGCCTTCGTCGGCTTCAGCAGCCCCAGAGGGGAGGCGGCTACGTGGGGAGCGCCAAGCCCCGGGCACCGAAGAAGCTCCGCGGGGCCGCCCGGGCCCGGCCCAGCCCCTGCCCTCGGCCCCTCCTGCAGCCTCCTCCGCCCCGTCTGCCCCTGCACCTGGGTGAGGAGAGGGCGGCTCGGGCTCCGGCCACTGGCAGACAGCCCCAGGGCCGTGTCCTTGGTTCCTCCGCGCGGCGGTACAGACCCCCGCCCAGCAAACGGCCCCCAGCCCCTTTCGGTAGGCTCACTGTCGTGGCCGGGGACCCCAAGCCCAGGGACGCTGCCCAGGCCGCGCAGCCCGGGAGCCCGAGCGTCACGCGCACCCGCGCGCGCCACCCGCCTCTGGCCAGGACGCTTATACATCCGGAGGGTGGGCAGTGCCCGCTCCTCCGACCTCCCAGCGCACCGTCCGGGCGCTGGGAGGGCCGGGGGCGGGGCCTGGGACGGCGGAGGGAGCCGAGGACACGTCGGAGAAGTTCACGCCGCCGGGTCATGCGCTGCCCGTTGCCGGCCCGGCACAGCCAGGGAAGGCCCTACAGCCGAGGTGCCCGGCCAGGCCTGGCAGAGAGAGGGGAGGCCCGCCCTGCGGCCTCAGGGCCTCTAAGGCCTGTGTAGGCCTGTGCTTTCCCTCCACCTACTGCCTACCAGGGGCTCCCCTGCCCAGCTTGGCGAGACCATGGCCTTCCTGTCCAGGATCTCCCCCAGACTGGGTGTGAAGCCCCGAGCCTCCCAGCCTCCCAGGAGTGGCCCTGGCCATCGCTGAGGCTTTGGCTGTCCGGGCCTCCATCGTGCTGTGCCCTTGCTGGGACCAGGTGGGAGGCAGGCAGTGTCTCCCAATGGTTTTTACAATCCGAGGGCCTCAGACCTTAGGTTGCAGGAGGGTGCTGGCTGGGAGGCTTGGAGGCGGCGCTAAGGAAGGGACCGGCTCCGGCCTGACATCCAGGAGAGAGTGTGAGGCAGGTGTGCGTCCAGTTAGTGTGAACGTGTGAGGCTGCATGTGCACAGACCCCACGTCTTCAGCTGTGGCCTTTAGTCTGTTTGGGGAAGGGGAAGCTGTCTTTCAGGGCATCCTGCTGGCCCTGCGCAGTCATCCAGGGAGTGGAGCCCAAGGGAGGTAGGAGTGGGGAGTGTGCGGCCGGGACCAGCCTTCAAAACCAGGAGGAGCTGCTCCTGCTGGGAGAGGAGAGCTCAGCTGAGGGCCGATGGGAGGGGGCTTGGTAGAGGCGTGGCCCCACGTATACCAGGTGCTGTGCAGGGACGTGTCACCAGGGGCGCCCAGGTAGGGGTCTGTACTCAGAGACTCCGGGGATCTACAGGCTGTGCCTGGGTTCCTGTGTCGAGCACGGTGGGGGCGCGTGGGGTTCTTGCGTGTGGCTGTGCTTCTCTGCGGTGAAGGCCGTCCTAACATGTGGCGGTGCACGTGGGTGTGTCCTCTGGACCTGAGGGAGCTTTCCGCGTGTATCTGGGCACAAACCTGAGGACCAAGGCTAGGTGTTGAACCCGCAGGTGATGCCAACACTGAGGACGGAGAAGTGAAAGTGAAAAACCCGGGCTTCGTGAGGACTCTGGGTCAGCCTCCTGGGGCTCGGGACCTGAGGTGCCTGCGATCTGCGCGCTTGCAGTGGTGGGGGAGCAGCGTCCTTCCAGCCTCCCTTAACTCCTTCGTGCCCCAGCTGGGACGCTGCGGCTGGAGCTGGGCGGGTAAGAGTGCCGGAGCAGAGAGGACGCGGGAGGGGTGTAGGAGACCCTGGTCGAAAAGAGGGGCGCCGGGAAGAGGGGTGGTGCCCCACCAAGCCCGCTCCGTCGGCCCAACTGACCCCGCCCCACCCGCAGTCGATACTCACCAGTGCGACTGCGGAATCCGGGACCTCGCTACTTAACGCCAGGTCTCTCCGTGAGCCCTCGGGCCGAACGGGCCGGGAGCGCCCGACGCGCGAGACGGCCAGAGCCTCCAGCCCGCGGCGGAGCCGTCACCTCCACCGGCCACCTGGGGCTGGGCTCTTCGGACCCCTTCCATCCTTGGGCGCAGCACCGGCCTCTCTCTCCGCGCTCGGCTGCCCTCTGCAGCTCCGCAGCCCGCCGGCACTCCTAGACGCTGGCCGCAGCTGGGAGGGAGCGCGCTCGCCGCATGGCCCCGCGCAGCGCACACCCCCTCCTTGTACGTGGACACAGCGCCTTGACAGGCCCCGCGCCGCCGCTCGCAGGAAGCCTTCCTTCTTCACCTGGACCTGCCGCGGCTCCTTTATGCCTCGCTCCCCCTGCCGGTAGCGCTTCCATTACTGCGAGGTAGGAGGCCAGGCCGGGCGCCGGCCTGTGCGGGCTGGGAGGGTAAGTGGGGGAGGGTGGGTAGGGGGAAGCATGAGCTGCGCAGGGTCTGACCGCTTAGGGCCTGGGCTGCGCGACCCGTCCCTCCGTGCAGAATAGGACCTGCATTACGCGGCGCTACTAGATGTGTGGAGGGCTCTGGTCGGCTTGCTGCGAGGTAGAGGCTATGATGAGCCCGTTTCACGGGCCCTAAAAGTGAGGCCTGACCCAAGCAATGGTATTTTCAATCGCCTCATATACACGCGAAAGCTGGACAATGAATATGGAAGACCCAAGGAAAATTGATGCATTTGAATTATGGTGTTGGCGAATATTGAATATACCATGGACTGCTCAATATACCGTGGACTGCCAGAAGAATGAACAAATCTGTCCTGGAAAAAGTACAGCCAGAATGATCCTTATAAGCGAGGATGGCGGGACTTCGTCTTGTGTACTTTGGACATGTTATCAGGAGGGACCACTCCCCGGAGAAGGACGTCATGCTTGGTAAGGTAGAAGGTCATCGAAAAAGAGGAAGAACCTCAATGAGATGGACTGACACAGTAGCTGCAACAATGGGCTCAAACGTGGCAGCGATTGTGAGGATGGCGCGGGACCGGGCAGTGTTTCATTCTGTTGTACATGGGGTCGCTAAGAGTCGGAACCTACTCCACAGCATCTAACACCAACAAAAGTGAGGCTCCGCTTCGACTCGCAGCGGGTGGGTAAGGGGTGGGAGCTCAAAGCCAGGCTAAGGGCAGAAGGTGGGAAGCGCGGATGGGGGTTAAGGCCACGGCCCCTCCCCTGGAGCGGCAGTGGCAGAAGCCCTTGCCCCTCCCACTGAGCCCTGCACAGGATCCTGCTGCCGCCCCGTCTGCTCCCTAGCACTGCCAAGAGAGTCCTGCGTGCCCTGTTCATTCACCCCGCCCAAGCATCCTCGGGATTTCTGCCGAACCAAGCGCTACGTATGGATGCTTTCTCCCTAGGGCTCCTGAAGAGTCTGGCTGTCCCGCTGCCCGGCCTAGCTCCGCCTCCCTTGGGCACACGTTGCTCCCTCGCGGACGCCCTCACACCCACACGCGGGACCTCACTCCTCACTCCTCGTCCTTCGTAAAGGCATGGTCCGCCTCCACCGCTACGAATTCACTCAAACCGTGCAGCTCCATCCCCCGCCCTGGAAGGACCCGCGGACCCTCGTGCGTCTCCTGCGCGCCACCGCCTGCCCACGGAGACGAGTGCCCTGACCGCGCCCCCAGCGTGCGTCTGAGGCCTTTCGGGGCAAAAGCTCCCACGGATGGGTGTGTATGGGCGGTCCACAGGACGCTGACCCGGGGAGTGCGCGGCGCATATTTTGTAGCCTCTCCTCTAGGAATCGGAGCACAGAACGGGCCTAGCCGGGCCGCAGCCTCCGCCCCGCTGTGGCGCAGAGGGACGTAGAGGGTAGGGCCGGGCTTCCCTTGACCGCGTTAGTTCGGCTCAGAATCGATTCGCTGGGAACTGCCTACGGCGACTGCGCAGCCGCGACCTCGGGGGTCTCAGAGGAAGCCCCGCGCGCAAGACGGGCAGAGCGCACCTGCTTCTCGGCTGCCGCCAGCGGCTCTGCCAGGTCACGCCACCGAGAAGGTTGGGAAGTTTGCGGTGCCGAGTCTCGGTGGGGCGGGGTGCCCGGGGCCCAACTTTCGCCGGAGCCTGAAGAGGCGGGCGCGCAGGGCGGCAACGGTCTCCCTTCCCGTCTCCCGTCTCTGTCCCTAGCTCTCTGCGCCGGCCCACGGGGCGTCCAGCGACCCGGGCCCTCGGGCGTGTTCTTCCGTCCCCACATCCAGCAGGGTGCGCGGCCTGCTTGCGGGCGTCACCCGTCGATGAACCGGTGTGCGAGGACGGCCCGCGACGCCGACCCTGGAGGCAGGTGTTGGCCGCCGTCCCGCGCTGTCCGTGGGCCGCTTGGCTATGGCCTGCAGTGGCAGTTCCCTTCGCGGGGGCAGGGAAGGAGCAGGCGGCCTGGGTCTGTGGCAGAGCCTAGTCCACACCTTCTGCTCAGTCTGGCCGCAGCTGGAGAGAGCATCGTCTGCCCGCAGGCCGCTGGGTTTGCAGGCCCTGGGGCAGGACGGGGGGGCAGACCCACGCTGAGGGAGGAGCAGGGTTGGAC